CGTGTGCTCTTCCGATCTACAAATAATTCGAGTTAAGGTAGGTTTTATTTCGATTTATAGAGGTTTTCCGCAACGGAGCGGAAGGGAATGAACAAAATTTTCGTCTTATAGAGGTTTTCGAATTGTAAAGGTTCGAGTTATCGAGGTTTGACTGTATATTTTTATTTACAGGACCATTGTCATACAGAAACTATTTATGCTAATTGACCTCGTGGTCTGAATAAAAACATTAATTCATACAGATGTTAACATTTCGTTTATGTTGAAAAAATACAAAAGATTAAGTTCTGCTATCGTGTTTTTTAATTAATTGTCTGTTTAAACTTACTATGATGTTACATGGCATTTGTACGATATTATTTAAATAAATTAAATAGGACATTTTTATTACATATATTTTAAATCTTGCTTTTTTTCAGAGAGTGTATTATTTGTCCTTGGAATATTATATGGGAAGATCATTACAAAATACAATGATCAATTTAGGAATACAAGGAGCATGCGACGAAGCTATGTATCAGGCAAGTATATATTTTTTAAAACTAAATTTATAGAAATATAAAAAATATAAAAAAGAATGTAAAATAGCACGAAGCTAAAAGATTAATTTTTAAGTTTAAAATCGTTCGTGTATGCAACGCAATGAAATATATGAATAAAGAGACTAAGAAACGAGCACACAAAAAAATGGATGTCAGAAATCATTTAATCTATAGACATGTTTAAATATTGATTTATTTTTGACCTCGTGGTTTAATGTGTTTATTTGTTTATTTATTATCTTTTATTTTGCGTTTTTTTTTAATTCTACTAGCTAAAAATGACTAGTTTGAAACGTTCTAGGATTTTTGTATAATGATGTTATTAAAGTTTTAATTTTAACATTCAATTTTAACATCCAATGTGTGCTTATTTCTTGGCCTCTTTATTCATATTCTAAAAAGAATTTTTTAGTGTTTAAAAGATCTCTATTAAGCTAGTCCCCCATCAGCGCAAAATTAATTTTTAAATAGTTAAAAATTAACTCAAAAAATTATGCTCAAGTGCTCGAATTGTTTGGTAGAAAATAAAAAAGATATTGTGGAGGCTGGTTTAACATTAAGTTTTTTGTGTCCCCACCCATGCCCACAAAAAGAATAAATATTGCGTAAATAGAATGGCACGAGCCAACTGCGCGATCGATGTTTAATTCGAATTTCTGTCAAATGGAATGAGCACCTAATTCGACGACTTGGTTCTTAAAATAATGTTATAATAAGAAAGAAATATTTTAATACTAAATTTGTTGGAGTACCTAATTGTTTAACATAACTTCTCTCTTGTAAGTCGACCGTTTGACTGGCATCTAAGTTTTAAAATATATATTTTTAAAATATTTTCATTATTTTTTGAAGCATTTAATTAGTAGTTAATTCTGCTAAATTTGTTTTTTATTTACGCAATAAATATTTTTTTGTGGATAGGGGCTAACTTAATGTTAGGCCAGCCTTCCCCACCCTAATATATTTTTTTTCTACCGGTTCGAGCATCTAATTTCACACTTGAGCATCTAATTAGCATTTAATTTTTAACTATTTGAAAATGAATTTTGCGCTGGTGGGGGGTGGCTAGCTTAACTTGGATGTTTAAAAGTCAGTAAAATAAACAAATTATATTTTACTAGAATATTCGGAATTTGAAGATATTTTATAAAATATCATGTTTTTGTGATTATTTAGGAAATTATACGGATTTCAAAAATTTTGTGTAGTTGATCATAACCATAATATATAGACTGTCCCATTTGAAAGAATCCATTAAGATTTCTCGAAAACTATGATAGGTATTATGGAAAACTGTTTCAAACAAAAGTTGTATGACTTCAAAGGAGATATAAAGTGGTATCAGTTGGTTTGACCTTGGATGGTGTCGTCAAGGTCAGGGAAGATCACTTTAAAATTTGTTAAATGAAATCCCTTATTTTTCATTGCGTATTTCTTGTAACTTATCTCGAGTGCTTTTCAAAACATTATAATAAAATATTTTTCCATTAAGCACTTTTCGAGTTATAAAACTTGAAAATTTCAGTACCGCCGGCGTTAGCATTACCCAAGGTGTCCGAACAATGGTTGAAACCTTTGAATGTTGTTTAAAACATGTGTCAAGGCCAAGGCTGTTAAAGGTTGCTCTTTTTTCATTTTTGAGAATTTTTTTTTTTAAGAGAAACAACTTCTAATGATCATGATCTTGATATATGTTATAAAGTTCATGATTCTGAACAACATTTAAAAGATTTTAGCCATTGTTTGGACACTTTGGATAATGCTAATGCCAGCGATACGGTAACTTTCAAGCCTTATAACTCGGAAAGTGTTCAATGGAAAAATATTTTATTATAGTGCTTTGAAAAGCTCTCGAGATAAGCTACAAGTATATTCAATAAAAAATGTGGAGTCCCATTTAAAATATTTAAAGTGACCTTTCCCTGATCTTGACAATGCCACTCAAGATCAAATCAATGGCATTTTATGTGCCTCTTGAAGTCATACAACTTTTGTTTGAAACATTTTTTCGTATCTATCAGTTTTCGAGAAATCTTAATGGATCCTTCAAAATGTATGTATACCGTGGCTGTCTAGCGCGCGGCGCATAAAATTTTTAAACCTTTATAGTTTTAAGTAATGTATTTTCAAAATAATTTTATGGAATTCGAACAATTTGTCAGCATCTTAAAGATTTCAAAGACTTGATTTTTGGGACGACGTACGTGCAGGTCAAAAGCAGTTGGTATTTTTTTTCTTAAAAACATTTCCTTTTTTATTTCAAATTCTTGAATTATATATCTGCTATATTCTTTAGTTTAAAAAATGTAATGTACGGATGTATCATAGTAGATTAAGATAACAAATTACTTTATCACTCATAATAAAATAGCAAAACTTCAAACGCGTTTTTTTCAAAATCATATTTCTCAATTTTCTTCACGCTTTTCTTAGAAACTACTGAACCAATTGACTTTCGCTTTGAAATATGTGTTCATTTATCACTATATCTTTTACTATGTTTAGGTCAATATTTTTAAATGTGTTTTTTACAATTTGCGCATTTTATAAAATTATGCAAAATTTTGTATTTTTTAACCTATCATCATTTTGTTAATAATTGAGTTACATTGTTTATTGAGATAAGCGAATATTTATAAAGATTAAAATAAACTATTAATCGTTTGTTTCAAATCAGTAGATTAAGCACAAATTTTGAGATACTTGTAAACGAAAATGACCTTGTAATTTAATAAATTTTTTTTGTGTTTGACGCTTCTTTATTTAATTGTAATTTTTTCTATTATGCGCACAATTTGCGTAATAAAGCTAAATTTTTATTAAAATAAAAGGGATGCCCAAACGTACCTACATAAAACATCAGTGTTTAAAGTATTTCTATTTTCGCGGAAATTATTCTTAAAAATAGCCTTAAAATAAGTCATATAAACTAAAAAATCAACTTCTTTAATTTGTAAAATATCGTACCTGATTATCAGATTTGTCAAATTTAATAATCTAATTCGACAGTTATCAGTTATTTATATTTCTAATTTATTTATTTTTGTTCTGTTTTGCTCATATTTTATCAATATTTCGTAATAACGTAATTTATGATGTATACAAATATATATTTAAATATACAATATAAATTAAATAGCAAACATAATCGTTTTAATACAACAAACATAATATTTTTATGCAAATCATACTTTATTTCGATAAAAGGGTTAGCGGAAATATTTTATATAGAGAATATTGAGATAAATCAATTAGTGAAGAAATATAATTATTTTTCATAAAAATTATGCAGTTTACAATATGCAATTGTCTTTTCAGACCATATGTATAATTTTTGTTTGAAATATTTTTTTTTCTAAAATTAAAAAAAATTTTAGGAATGATTGTTAATAAAATGGGATATCTTCTGGCTCATTATCCGTATATATATAATATTCAGTTTTTAATATTTACATTTTTATTACATAAAAGATTTTATTTTTTCTTATATAATTAGGTATTTTATTCATCTAAAAAAACTTCAAAAAATATTTGAAAGTATTTTTTTTCAATATCAAATATAAAATTATAGTATAATTAAATGTATTTAAATTTTACAATTTTTTGGATATGTTCTATCAAAAAGAAGCTATTTCTCTCTATCTTTGCTTAGGAAACAGGTTATCTTAATAATTGGCCATTCTATATTGTGATCATTTCTCGTAGATGGGTCTGGATATTGAAGAATTGGAAGAACTCGAAGAAGACGCCGGACTTGGTAACGGAGGATTAGGCCGTTTAGCTGCCTGCTTTTTGGATAGTATGGCCACATTAGGTTTAGCTGCTTATGGATACGGTATACGTTACGAATATGGTATATTCGCACAGAAAATAAAAAATGGTGAGCAAATAGAGGAGCCCGACGATTGGCTCAGATATGGCAATCCTTGGGAAAAAGCTCGGCCAGAATTTATGTTGCCGGTGAACTTTTATGGCCATGTGATTGACACTTCGGAGGGCAAAAAATGGGTGAATACGCAGGTAATAAATTATTTTAATACATGAATACTTTACACACAAAATATGCATCCATATATCCAAAATGTTGCTGAATGTTGCTTTTACTGCGTATCACAGTCAATTTGGATCAATCTTTCTTTTTTAAAGAAAATGCTGAGTGAAACATCTACAATTTTCGAACAATTAAATGGAAAATTTAAAGTTAAGAAATTTTGCAAGAGAAAATACGACATGTAGTCAGTTTTACGTTGACTACATTTCCATAGAATTTTAATTCAAAGTTTGTTTGTAAAAATATATAGTTAGAAAAAAACGAATTTTCTCGATATATTAAATATTAATAAAGAAAAAAATTATTTGTAAATTTTATAGAAGAGTTGTAATTAAAAAAATGTCATATGTCTTGCAGTACTTTGTATAAATAATTTATGATTATAATTGTTTAATATAATTTGTTACAGGTTATTTTTGCCATGCCCTATGATAGTCCAATTCCTGGCTACAAAAATAATGTTGTTAATACTTTAAGGCTGTGGTCCGCAAAGTCGCCTATAGAATTTAATTTGAAGTTCTGTAAGTATCAACTCGATGAGTTTCTGCAATACAATAACAGTCTTTTCCATATGCTGTTAACTCTTTCAGTTAACGACGGTGACTATATACAGGCTGTGATTGATCGTAATCTGGCGGAGAATATCTCCAGAGTTCTTTATCCAAACGACAACTTCTTCGAAGGCAAAGAGCTCAGATTGAAGCAGGAATACTTTATGGTAGCTGCTACTCTGCAAGACATCATCCGAAGATATAAGTCTAGCAAATTTGGTTCAAGGGAGCATCATAGGACTGATTTCAAAGCTTTCCCTGATAAAGTAGCTGTTCAACTCAACGATACGCATCCCTCTCTAGCTATTCCTGAGCTGATGAGAATTCTTCTTGATGTTGAAAAACTCTCTTGGGAAGAGGTATGTTTATTATAAAGGAACATTGTCTATATACAAAGTTGAAAAAATATTTTGAAAAAAGTTCGTTAAAATAAGACAAAATTTACAACTTATAATGTGCAATGGCATACTTTTTCATACAATTACGTATTTTTTCCTATATTAATTGCTTTATTTTATTATAAAAGTATTTAAAATAAGGTTCTAAAAAAAAGGATTTAAACAATTTAATCAAATATCTCAAAAACTGACAAGTTTAGCAGGCAAAAATGTTTTACACAAAAATTGTATAATTTGTGGAAGAGCACAAATAATGGTAAAATGAATTAAAAAGAATTCACATGAAAGTTATTGCCGTTTTTTAAAATGGAATTTTATGATTTTTGTTATATAATATTGTTACGCCCGCGACTATGCCCGCGTCGTTTCGTGTTTGACCGAGCTGACGAGAAGAATCTGAAGAGCTTTTGTTTTCGTGACGACGCGCTTTTGTTGTCAAACGATCTTCATGTTAGATTAGAGACGAGCCGTCGATCCGTACAGACGTGCTGATTTGTTTTATACTTTCATTATGTAATTACTATTTAGTTAATTAAAGAGCTTTTAATTCAACTACTAATGTCTCTTATTTCTCTGCAATTCCGCGAGTGCACGCACGCGAATGCGAGAAAGTGCGAGTTCGATTTTTGGGCGTAACAATATGATTCTTCTAGTTATTCTGCGTATAAAAATATTAAAGTAGAGTTATAAAAAATCAATTTAAATATTTTATGCTTTATTTTGGTAGATTTAGAAATATGAAATATTTTGTAAATTATTAACTTTTGATAACCGTATTTTAATACTTTTATGCATAGAATAATAAGATGAATCAATTGATGTAAAGAAAACACATAGTTACTTTTAAAAAAATATGTAATTACATATTGCAAATTGCATAATTTTTTGAAAAGCAACTATTTGTTTTCTTTACAACAATTAATTTATCGACATATTTTAGAATACGAAATATCTTTTTAATTAGTGATTTTTTAAGTTTAATATTAGTTTTATAATTTCATATATCGGGAATATCAACGAATACTGATTTTAAAAAATTTGAATTGCAAAAAATGTATGTATGTACATACAAGGGGTCATTTTAAGTGACGCACTAAAATATTTCGAGAATAAGACATGGAATTGAAAAATATTTAAGCCAAAAATTGTGTAACTTTAAGGAGAATATAAAATGGTATCATTGGTTTGATCTTTGATGGTGTTGTCAAGGCCAGGGACAGGTCACTTTAAATTTGTTAAATTAAACTCCCCATTTTTCATTGCATATATACTTGTAGCTTATCTCGAGAGCATTTCAAAATACTATAATGAAATATTTTTCCATTAAGCACTTTTCGAGTTATAAGACTTGAATGTTACAATATCGCCGGCATTAGCATTATCCAAGGTGTCCGAACAATGGCTAAAACTTTTTGAATGTTCAGAATCATGACCTTGACACAAGTTGTCAAGGTCATGATTACTAGAAGTTGTTCCTCTTTTTTACAAAAAATAAAAATTTTTATAAATGAAAATAAGCAACAACCTTTAATGGTCTTTATCTATTTTATTTTATAATTCGAATCCGAGCTATCGATTGAGTCTACTTAGAACTTGATCGGTTCATTATTGAGATCCGGAAAATGTAAGTGCTCGCCAATTCGCGTAAAGAGACACGGTCTCGTCGTAAATAGATTTGTCACGAGACACTACCGTATCTTCTGATTTATCGCAATAACCGGTATATTGAGTGAGAACGTATACTAGAGGCACGTATATTAAATATTAATATTTAAACCAGAGGTGTGCGAATAATTCGAATCGAGTCGAATCACAGTAGATTCGATTCGAGTTTGTTTTCGAATCTGCAAGATTCGAGAATTTTGAATCAATCGCCTATTCTATTTGGTTTATTTACATCTCCCGTGCGACTAATTATTCTTATCTAATAAATAAGTACTTTTGATATATAATATATAATGTATTCATATAGATTAATAAAATATTCGAAAGCATTCTAACTATTCGTGTGTATGTACACATATTAATATTTTCTAATTTAAAATGTCACATAAGATCCTTTGTAATAAAATGTAAATCGAAAATAGGTCTTTAGTTTGTTTAAATCAGTTTGTTCAATTGTTTAAATAAATTGCGTAAAATAATGTAAATCATAAATTTTGATATTTATTATGTTTAAATTAACATGTAATATTAATCTGGGAAAATTTGATTCAGATTCGATTCGTATTCGAATTAAAGAGATTCGATTCGATTCGATTTCGAACGTGTTATAAAAAATTCGATTCGACCATGCAAATGCTTAATTCACACACCTCTAATTTGAACTTAGATCACATAAATTAATAACAAATAATATTTTACAATATTTTAAGATGCTTGATATTTGAATGTTTGTAACAATTCGAGATTATTATTGCATATTCAATATAATTTGATATATTTTAAGGCTTAAGTTTATTACTATCAAAGAGATTTTTTTTGAATTTTCAGCTTTTATCTAATTGTATATTTAATAGTGACGTGATTGACAGTGATCGAATAAATTTTATAATTTACATAACACTTGAAACAAATATCTTAGAATACTTTAATTTTTTAGGCTTGGGACATTACGACACGTACGTGCGCCTACACAAACCACACGGTTCTTCCCGAAGCATTAGAAAGATGGCCCACCTCTATGCTGGAGAGTATTCTTCCGAGGCATTTACAGATTATTTATGAGATAAATCATTTGCATCTTCAAAAAGTTGCAGCCAAATGGCCTGGCGATATGGACCGCATTCGTCGAATGTCTTTGGTAGAAGAGGAAGGTGAGAAGAGAGTCAACATGGCTCATCTGTCGATCGTTGGTAGTCATGCCATAAACGGAGTTGCTCGCCTTCATTCAGAAATTCTCAAAGATAGTGTGTACGTAGAGTTTTTTTTGTGGGAACTAACAATGCTTTGAGAAGATTAATGGAGTATTTAATTGTTTTTCTTTTGTTAGCTTCCGAGACTTCTACGAACTGACACCGGAGAAATTTCAGAACAAGACGAACGGTATCACTCCGAGAAGATGGCTGCTACTTTGCAATCCAAATCTGTCCGATATAATCGAAGAAGTCAGTATTCAAATATGTGGAACATTATTTTAATCAGGGATTCAGATTAAAAGGATATTTCAGTTCGGTTCTGATTACGATTTAATAAGACATCGATTTGACTAATGAATTTAAATTTAAATTATGGATTTTCTTGGTTACAGTTACGGTTTTCCTAAAACTTTCTTTTTAATGTTTCCTATTAAATTATTATTCTATTAAACTAGTAATGTTTTTTTGCCGTTGTATGCTACTTTTGAGCGCACGCGCGCGCTTGTGTGTATGTGTGTGGAAGGGAAAAGAGAATGAAAATAAAATATATAATTTAACATAGTTGTAAAAGATGTAGAAAAAATAATTATATACTTTTTTTTATATATTATGTTTTCTTGAGAATATGATATATTTCAAATAATATGTATTTCTTTGTATTTTTAAATTTTTTCAAAATATTTTATTATCTCTTTATTAATTCTTTATTATCAAAATTGCCATTTAATTATATATATATATTTTTATTTTGATACTTTTTTATATTTTTATCTGACAAAATTACTTTAGCAATTAAAGTAATCAAATGAATTAATGAAAATAGTTTTCCTAAATAAATCATCTCTTAATTATGAACTTTGCTTTTAATTCTATTTTTTTGTATAAAATTTTTATATGAAATGACAATTTAAAAAAAAATTATATAAACCATCTATAATTTTTATGAAATTTATGAAAGAACCTTCCTCATTTATTATTATTTAATAGATACAATTTATTTAGCAATAAATACTTTAATTACTAACAAGTAAAATAAAGTAACAAATTGTAGATTAAAAACCAAAAAAGCTGTAAACAAAAATAATTTTTTCAATCTGTTTATGATTCTGATATTATAAACTTTGTAGAATTTTAGTACAATTACGGTTTTGATTCAACTAAAAAAAGGAACGATTATCGATTCCGGAGTCCCTGATTTTAATAATCGCGATATTATATCATGCATATATATGTTTTATATAATTATGTATTTTATATAATTTTTTTTATAATTTATAGAAAATTGGTAGCGAATGGACAGTTCATTTGGAACAATTAGAGCAATTGAAGAAGTGGGCGAAGGATCCGGTATTCCAACGTAACATTGTTAAAGTTAAACAGGAAAACAAATTACGTTTAGCCCAAATATTAGAGAAAGAATATGGTGTTCGAGTTAATCCAGCATCTATTTTTGATATTCAGGTTAGAATATAGTCAATGAAGAAACATTTCTTTTTCATTACAATGCATTGGTTGATTTATACTCGATTGATAAAAATTCTGATGAAATCTTATATTTTTAAGAATTACAGATTTAAGATTTACATTTTAAATTTACAAACATTTCTAAGAAAATATCTTCAATCGTTTAAGATTTTAGATTTTTTTTTTTTCCCCGGAAATTATAAAATGAAATCTTTGAATATTTCAGAACTCAATATATAAATATATAAATATGTAGGTACTCGTATATAAAAAATTCTAAAAAAATGTAGACTCAGTATTTCTGAAAATTATTTCAATTTGTATAAAGTCAGAGACTTTTTCTAAAAAAAGTTATAAAATTATATAGAAGTTGTGAAAAAAATTCTGATATAATATAAAAATTTCGAGAAAATATGTGAAAAATTTCAAGAAAAATTTTCATCAGAATATCATATTCTCTTTAAAATTATCTCCAAAATAATTACAATTGAAGTAAGAAATGTTTAACGAGTTAAGTTTTAGATAGAAGATAGAGAGGACAAAGCTATCATTTTTGTTAGTTATGTAATTTAATTGGATCTTGTTACAATTTGAGATTTTTATTACGCAAATAAAGCGTTAAAAATTTTTTTAAATATTATAAATCAACTTCGATATTTATAGTAAATAGACTTATGTTATTGCTAAAGAGAAATCTTTTCTAAATTGGTCAAAGAATAATAAAATTAAAAGAATATCCGATAATTTTTAAACTGCCTATGTAATATATGATGGCACATTACGGTTGCAAGATATATGCAGTAATATGTTCATATGTTAAATTGCATGAAAACAAATTAGCAAGATTTGAGATGAAATGATACGAAATTGAATTGTAATATTTTGTTGACAGGTAAAGCGTATACACGAATACAAACGTCAATTATTGAATTGTTTACATGTCATCACTTTATACAATCGAATAAAAAGAGATCCATCTGCTCCTTTTGTTCCGAGAACTGTGATGATAGGTGGTAAAGCAGCGCCGGGTTATCATTTGGCGAAGAAGATTATTAAGCTTATCTGCAGTGTTGCTAATGTTGTCAATAATGATCCAATCGTTGGTGATAAACTCAAGTTAATCTTTCTTGAAAATTATCGTGTGACTTTAGCTGAAAAGATCATACCAGCGGCAGATCTAAGCGAGCAAATTTCGACCGCTGGCACCGAAGCGTCTGGTACTGGCAACATGAAGTTTATGGTCAGTTATGTTTGGCAGTAAAATAAAATTGAGATTACGCATTTATTTACATATCCGGCGAAATAATTTTGATAAAAATAAAATTTGAAATTAGTTTGTATTTTAGAATAAAATAGAAATTAGAGAAATGAAGGCCAACAAACGAGCAAACAAAGATTATTGCAATTATTTATAATAATTTTATTTGGTTTACTAAAGGCTTTAGTATATCGAAAATTATATAATATTTTGCTAATTTTTTATTTTATTCGATAATAAACTTATTTGGTATACGTAAAACTACGAATAATTTTAATTATTTTCTGTGATTTTATTTAATTTGTTGAATACAGTGTATTAAATCAATTAAATATTTAATTGTAGTTATTATTTTTGTTATAAAATTTGGTTCATTTAGATAATGGAACCTTACATTATTTTTAGTTGAACGGCTCATTGACCATTGGTACCTTGGATGGAGCAAATGTAGAAATGGCGGAGGAAATGGGTAATGAGAACATCTTCATTTTTGGTATGACAGTAGAGGAAGTGGAGGCTCTAAAAAGAAGAGGCTATAATGCATACGATTATTATAACAAACTACCGGAAGCTAAACAATGTATTGATCAAATCCAAGGAGGATTCTTCAGTCCAAATAACCTCAATGAATTCCAAGATATTGCTGATGTATTGCTTAAATGGGATAGATTTCTACTTTTGGCCGATTACGAGAGCTATGTAAACTTACAGGATCATGTTAGCAAAGTCTATCAGGTACTTAATCGATTGTAATTAACTTTTGTATAATTTTTATATTTAGAAAAAAATTAACTAGAAAATTTATATTTTATTAAAAAACTAGAATAGAAAATTATATTTAGAGAAAAAGATTATAGAAAAATTTTATTACCAAAATATTATTACTTTATAGACATTAGATTTTAATTATTATTGCTATCAAAAAATTAATAAAATATTTTTTTTTAATGTAAAGAAGTTTCATATTTTATTATATTAATCTTTGTATATGCTTTTATTTTCCATTTATTTTTTAATTATATTAATTGCAATGTTTTTCAATCATGAACTTACATTCAAAATTCATAAAAAATTATATGTATGATTGAATACATAAAACTATATTTAGAAAAAAAAAACTTTCTATTTTAAAAACACATTTTAACAGTTCCATAGCATAGGGTAATTGTACTTATTAGTGTGCTTTTATATTTAAATAAGTCATAAAAATAAACAAATAAATAGACAAAGTATTTTTTTATAAAGTTAATACTTTAACTTAATAAAAAAAAATACTTTGTCTATATATTTGTACCAGTTTATTTTTATGACTTATTTAAATATAAAAGCACACTAATAGATACAGGGCACACTAATATAGGGAC